ACTGGAAAAAGGCATTGAAGCAATTGGGTGGCAGTTTAAGTTATGGTAACTAGTAACCAAAAAATTGAAAATTTTTAAAAATTATTTCAAAAATTATCAATTTTGAATCATTTCATGTAGGGCTTTTGAAATAGTTTTTTTTAAAAGTATGCAAGCTATATTTGAGCCTTGCCTGTTATCGATTGCAAAACAGGTAAATTATTAAATAGTCAATTAACAAGGCAATTTGACAAGGCATGTTTAGATAATATTTAATTTCTTACACGAATTTAATTAAATGGAATAGAATATACATACATACGCATTTACTTAGTATTTAGTAAGTATTTACTTAGTAAATGTCTCGTATACATAACGTGATAAAAACATTACATAAAATTATAAAAACAAAATTATTTCAAAAACAAATAAACTTAATGAGCGTTTTTATATTTACTTTAATTATTACATCAAAAATGTGTACATTTTAATTGTTAGGATTTTTTGCATTTTTATAGAGTATTTATTCACGGTTTGGTCATAAAACAAAACCCACTAGACTCAAACAACTAGATTTTTGTTTGCCATAAAACTTCCCAATAGGTTACTTGAATTAAATGTAATTAAAAACTAACCAAAAAAAGCTAAATCCAATTATATTTTCCCATAAACAGCTTTGGAAAGTATGCAAACAGAAAAAAAAATCTATGTCTATTAGAGAAAATTGTATCAAATGTTTTCCATTATAATTGTTCCTGTGTCTCAGCAGGATATATTGACTTAAAAAAATTGATCGGCAATATATTGTTTTATTTTATGATTATATGCATCATGTCATATTTTCCAAATGTATTTGTATAACACATTTTTTCACAATTTCATTCAAAATTTTTAAACTAAAAATGACAAAAAGTAAATAATAAGGAAGAAATAAAACAGCTAATTTTCCCCGCTTGAATAAATAACACAAGTTCGATATTTCCAACAAATGTGTATTTCATTTTAACAGGCAAACACATCTTTCCCAGTTCATGTAATAAAACAAGTTAAATATGCGAGAAATATCACTGCATTGTTTGGTAATCGCCAGGCTTAACATTAACAACTGAATAATGAAGACCAGGCGACCTTTAAGGAGTGCATAGTTTTAGGAAAATTTTATGACACAACATTTATTTTGTATTCATTTTATTACACAACAAGTTTGAATCATTGGCTTACTTGGGTCATCAACATTTAAAGAGGCTTGATAAGAACGTTTCAAGAAGTAATATGGTATTAAGTCAATTAATTACATTGAAATTTATTTTAATTGCTTAATTCGCGGTTAGTTATCATTGAACCGGTTCTTCTATTTGACCATCTAAATTATTTTCTGGTTATTGACAGCAGTTCGCCGGCGAGCTTTTCATTCTGAACATAGCTCTGAATGCGTGTTAATGAAAATGGACACAGCTCCAAAGAGGTGCTAAAGAAAATGGACACAGCTCCAAAGAGGTGCTAAAGAAAATGGACACAGCCCCGAATGAGCGTTTAAGAAAATGGACACAACCCCGAATGAGCATTTAAGAAAATGGACACAGCCCCGAATGAGTGTTTAAGAAAATGGACACAACCCCGAATGAGCGTTTAAGAAAATGGACACAGCCCCGAATGAGCGTTTAGGAAAATGGGCACAGCCCCGAATGAGCGTTTAAGAAAATGGACACAGCCCCGAACGAGCGTTTAGGAAAATGGACACAGTCCCGAACGAGTGTTTAGGAAAATGGACACAGCTCTCAATGAGTGTTTAGGAAAATGGACACAGTCCCGAATGAGTGTTTAGGAAAATGGACACAGCTCTCAATGAGTGTTTAGGAAAATGGACACAGATCCAAAAGAGAGTTTGGTGCAATGTCCAACAAGAAGGTACTAATTTTGTATTTTTCCTCTAATTCTTTTAATTACTATGGTTATCAGTCATTTTATTATAGTATTTCAGTTATATATTAGTTATATGTTCAGAATAGTATTTCAGTTTTAAAAAATATTTGTAACTGTCTTAAACCAGCATTGTTGAGCCATAGTAACTAGGATTGTTTATTTCGTTATAACCAAGTTCACGGACTATATATACAGACTGCTAGTCACCTTTAATAAAGCCAGTCAGTTTTAAACCGGATAAGCTGAACTTGAGAAATGTCAATTTACGAAATGCTTTAAAAAAATAGCTACGCTAATATTTTAAAACATTTCGGGGTGTATAATAAAATACCACTGCATAAATAATAAAAAATGTTATTAGATTTGTTTTATTCCTTATAGTTGGATATTGTGCATCTTAATAAGTTAGAATGTAATTTTTATGGTCTTATTTTCTTAATTATTTTTTTACTGAATAAGTTTTAATCATCCAACAGGCTAAGAGTTGTGTTAATTCAGTAAAAAAAAATAGGCTCATTCATGTAAACTCCATGATTTTACAGATGGTCGGTTTCCTACATTAGGCCAATGGTACTTATTTTTATTTTTCAAATATTTACCTAAAATATCATTGTAACGTTTATTTTTTCTATTTGTAACTTGGAAAGTAACATATAAATTAATGTACAAAACTACAATTTGACTATTTTAAGTTACTTTTTTAAGTGGCTCATCGATAGAATTCTTCCGTTTTTCTCTTTTTGAAATAATTTATGATGCTTTATTATTGAGTTTAGGAATAGATGGCTTGGTTTATAATTAAATTGTTTTAATAATAAAATGCCATAACACTAATACACACTTGAAAAGGAAAAACAAGAAAACCCAACCACAGTTAACCCGACGTCAATAAGACATCGTGCAAATTCATAATTATTGGTGATGGAAATATTGAAAACTTCACAATAACAAACTTCACATAACATTCACAATAACATTGGAATACAGAAATTAGTTTTTAGTTTTGAGCATTTTTGTAAAACAAAGAAATTATATTACCATTTAGATAATACATTATACTCATTTGCGTAAGTTTGCTAGCTTAAAATTTGGAATATTAAAATTTTTTTAGAAAATAAGAAAACTTTTGTTTTAATCATCTGGTTTTGTTCTAGAAAGGATAAATCAGAATAATATAGAAGTAATAAATTATATTTCCAGCATTAATTCGCAAGTTGCGTAAAATTCGGAAGCTAATTTTGATAAATGTTTTTGCTCACAAAAAATACAATCAGCTTTTTTGGTCATAACAAATTGCGAATTCTGGATTAATTAATTCTTTAATAGAATATAATGCAAAGGAAACAAAAATATGTAATTTTTATTGTAATATAAAAAGATACTAAAGGATATTAAGACTTAACAAATTTCAGTGTTTGAAAATAAGTAATATATTAAATAGCTAAAAAATTTGAATACAAAACTAGATAGGATAGTGAATTAGCTTGTTTTAAATTCTTTAATTTGATAAAACCGAAAGTCAAAGAAATATTTTAACTTTTTTAAGACAGCAAATACACGCAAATTTAAAAAATAAGTTTAAAATGTTTCGCAAAAAAATAAATTTGTCTGAATAATTTTTGTTTAGATTAGGACTATTGATTTAAGAACTTGAAAGAATGATATAAATGCTTAAAAATACTGCTAAATTTTTCATTAGTAAACATACAATATAATTATTGATTCGATTATAAAGGAATTAATAGTTTCGTTTCTAAAGATTGTATTTTATTATGAAACTTTATTAGTGTGTAACACTTAAATATTATTTAGCGTTGTACTAGACTTAACTATTAACTAATTTAATATTTTCTTTTAATTGTGTTTAAAATTTAGAGTTACACAGTTTATGTACAACACAATGTATGTACGCAATATAAAAACGCAATGTATATCAAATTTCATCCATAAACGTACGGCCAATATGTACAAAGTCAAATATATGTATAACTTAGCCAGAATAATTAGAAATATTTTCAAATTTAATGGTTTTTTCATTGAAAATATTCGTAAATTTAAATTTGTTTCCATAGAGACGCTCAATATAAAGGTTAATGACACAATAGCCGAAATTGATAGCACTGCAAAACAGTATTAAGTATTCAATTCAAGGTATAAGCTGATTAAATAGCCCCAATTTTTTGAAATATTAATATTTTGAAACGTAGTTTATGAATTAAACAGAAGTATTAAGAATATTTTCAATTCATAAAATTGGAATATTCTCTCTCAAATTCATCGATCAATCGATCGCACTACCAAACAGTATTAAGTATTCAACTCAAGGTATAAACTGATTAAATAGCCCCAATGTTTTGAAATATTAAATATTAATATTTTAAAACGTATTTTATGAATTAAACAGAGGCATTAAGAATATTTTCAATTCTTGACATAGGATTATTCTCTCTCGAATTTCAATTATAATTGTATACTCAATATTTACAAACCAAATATATTAGGAATATTCTTCCTTAAAATTCATAAACATATACTAAAAATATTTGGAATATTCTTTCTAAAATTTAAATTATAAATATATTACTATTATATTAGGATTACTCTCTCTCAAAATTCAAAAATAAGCGTTTGCCTAATTTATTATTAGGAATGTTCTCTTTCAAAATACAATTATAAATCTATACTCAATTAATTAGGAATCTTTTCGCAATACAGTTATAAATTTATCTTCGATTTCTTAGGAATACTTTCCTTCAAAATAAAATTCTAAATTTATGCCCAATTCATCAGGAATATTCTCCCGCAAAATTCAATTATATATCCATTCTGAATTTATTAGGAATATTCTCTCTCGACATTCAATTAAAAAACGGTTGCTCATTATTTGCGAAGCCAATCTAAACATGTATCCAAATTTATTAGAAACATTCTTTCACAAAATTCAATTTCCAACGGACGTTCATTATTTATAAACGTAATTTAAATACACTGCCTAATAAAATCAGTATGATTAGAGATTATTATAAAGTTCAAACTTTTGTCCAATTTTTTTTATTTACATGAATAAACACAAATTGCTAAAATAAAAAAAATCTTACTTGAGATTCCGTGAAATAATATCAGTTACGAGACGTTTGTTCATTCATTTGATCCTAATTCTTCTTGAATTGTTCCAAATTGTATCACGTTTTGTCAAGCAATTTTTTCCAGAATAATAATCTTTGGTTTTTCGATCGTGACGTCACAATCAACCGTGAGATGCAATGCCAGTTTTTTTTTTCTTATTTCATTTGTGATTGATATATTCTTTCCCTTCAAGTCTCGTTTCTATTGAATTGGGTTGATGTTACAACGAAGCTGCGCTATTGAAGTTGGCTTAGATCTCCATTTGAAGTTTTTAAATTTTGTTTATCATGTTCAAAATAAAACACAACGTAATTTATTTAAGCAGTAGATTTATTATTTTCAAAATTCACTGCTTAATAAATATATTTATACACGCTTTATAAGTCCCGCAGTGGACTGATCGTTAAGATACGGTTCCCAGCAGATCACCGAAGTCAAGCATCACTGGCTGCGGTCAGCTTGGATCAGTCTGAGTAGGGTTCTTGTTCTTGTTCATTTACGTCGCACTAGAGCTGCACAATGGGCTATTGGCGACGGTCTGGGAAACATCCCTGAGGATGATCCGAAGACATTCCATCACAATTTTGATCCTCTTCGGAGGGGATGGCTCCCCCGCTTCGGTAGCCCGACGACCTGCGCGCGAAGTCGAGCACTCAGTCTGAATAGGGACCGAAGGTGCGCGGTATTGGTTCTCGTTAAACTGTTCTAACGTAAAGTGCGCAACTTCGCGTGTAGGTCGTCGGGCTACCGAAGCGGGGGTACCTCGGTTCAAAATTTTGATGGCATGTCTTCGGATCATCCTCAGGGATGTTTCCCAGACCATCGCCAATAGCCCATTGTACAGCTCTAGTGTGACGTAAATGAACTACTACTACTACTACTACATGCTTTGCAAAGAAAAATTATTCCCGTAATAGTACTTTGTATGCCAGTGGGTTCATGGAGGTTAAAACTCTACAAATTCGAGAGAAAGGGCATGATTGTAGCAATGTTGTCTGCATTGCGCACAGACTGCCTTTACATCGCAGACAAGGTGGTACCCATCTTTCTGAAATTGAGTGGGCTTCAAGCCGCCACTGGGGATTGAACCACAGCCCTTCGCAATGGCAGCTCAGTGTCGACACATTTTACAATATTTATATTTATCGCTTTATTTAGTAGATTTATTACATATTGAACTGTTTTCAACATTTGAAATTCACATTTTATCTCAGTTTTATTACAATTTTTAACACTGTGTTGCATCAACAGTGGCTTGTGCTAAGTTTTCAACAATATGACAAAAGCCTATAAGTTGTGTTTGGTCAACAACTCCTAGAAGAAAGAAGGTGAGCAAGCAGGCATAGCATACCGTAGCAGGGGCTACTTCTGATAAGGTAACAGGTTCGTACACCACAGTTATCTAACAGCCTCAGTGATTATGAAGACTGTAATCGTATAAGTGCAGTATGACTAACTGAAAAAAATATTTTTGGTGCCTATTTTCAGAATGAATACCTCTCAGGCAATACAATTGTCTTCTAGCTCTAGCTGTTTTGAGGCTTTTATCTTAATCCAATTCTAACCTACTCTTGACCTCTACGTTTGTGTCATCTTCGTTATACTTCACACTTCAATCGAAGAACATTTAACCTCGATTTCAGATAACAAGTATTATCAACATATAGTATTTTTGATATAGATAAGAATCTAGCTTCTGATTCTTAACTTAAAATTAAAATCCTGCGTGATACAAGATAATACTATTTTTAAAAAAATGGCCTTATTTCGAGGTATGCCATTCTTTATTTGCATGGTATAAGAAGTGGTAATAGGTTCGAGTCCTGTTGCAAAACACCCCGCAAGCTAACCTTAGAGCTGATGCTATATAAATATACCATACAGGAAAAAAATTGTTGTTGCTGTTGTAGTTCATTTACGTCGCACTAGAGCTGCACAATGGGCTATTGGTGACGGTCTGGGAAACATCCCTGAGGACGATCCGAAGACACGCCATCACAATTTTGATCCTCTGCAGAGGGAATGACTCCCCTGCTTCGGTAGCCTGACGACCTGCACGCGAAGTCGAGCACTTTACGGTAGAACAGTTTAACGAGGACCCATACCGCGCACCCTCGGTACCTGCACAGACTGATCCAAGTGGTCACCCACCTGCGCACTAACCACAGCCAAAGATGCTTGACTTCGGTGATCATCTGGGAACCGTGTCTTAACGATCAGTCCACTGCGGGACACAGGGAAAAGAAGTTTGCAACTAAATCGAGCAAATATGCGTGGCGTGAATTTTATGCATTTATTACTAGTCAATTGTAGGTTAATTTTTGCGAATTGACTCCGCTGTAGAATCCAAGAACGAATTACTGTATTCGAATAAAAAAATATAATTAATTTATGCCGGGTTTAATTTGCAATTCATGAATATATTTAATAACTTGCGAATCGCATGAAATAATTAAAAATTTCTAAAAAAAATAAGGCATAAAAGTCTACATTAAAATCTTGCATATTAATAATTAGGTATGAAAAATTTGAAATTTATCAAACTACAACGTGGAGGATAAGAGAGAATTAAAACTATTAAAATAAGTTCATTTTTGTCAAATGAAATTAAAAGGTTTTTCTAATAACGTCCAATGGATAAATTAATAATCAAAAACGCTTTTCAGTTTCCTCCGACAGTAAAATTAATTTCTTTATTTTAATTACGTCTTTATTACGATTGACCACGATAATAATTCGCCAGCTTTTGATACGTTGCTCCCATGAACATCAATTTGTAATCCCTATATTTTTATAAATTCATTTCCAACAAAGATTCTAAAATACAATTGTGAGTTGTCAAAAAGTATATTTTTTAGAATTTTATGAATATTATAAGTTTATGCACTAGAAATGATGCAAACTGAGTAACACAACGCTTTATTGCTACAAAATAATGACACTAACGAATATATTCTTTTACAATAAATACAAATTGCACAAAATATATCTTGCATTATATGAGCCAGCTTAATATAACATGAAAACTTCCTCTTTACAAATACTATAAAATGATTGCCTTTTTATGCGTATGCAATGATGTAGCAAATATACAAGGTGTTCCGTAATGATCACTCTCAATATATAATTTTTAGAATCATTCAACAATGAAGTTAAAAAAAAGCACACACATTGTCACAAATAAGGCTATCGGTATCTCACGAATCAATACTGAGGAAGAAAAAACTTAAACAATAAAAACATAATTGGTTGCCGAAGGAAACAGAGAGGAATTGAAGGATGATTGTCAGAAACATCTTCCAATCAAGGCAATCAAACTGGTTTTGACACTTTTCCCTTCTCATTCCTTACCGGTTACTCCATAGAGTTTTAATTTTTCTCTTGTTTAAATATTGATTTGCAATCCATAATGAATATAGATTTTTGACAAGGATTTTACATGTATGCAAGGTTAATCAGTTCAACGGTTGCAGATTTGGAAGGGAAGTAGGGCACAAGGATTGAGAATTGCATCACAACGCATGGTCAGAAACGTCATCGTACACCACTAGGGGAGCTTCATTATTTTAGACAAGCTTTTTGTGCACATTTAAAAATGCATTTTTGTTTACATAAACTGTAAATAAAAATTGGTGTTCGATTTGGTGTTCTCCTATAATTACTGATGAAAATAGCAGTCAAATAGGCTCAGATTTTGTAGTTTTACTGTGATTGTCACTAATTAGGTGATTAAGCAGGTAAGTTGGGGAAGTTGATGTCAAATTGATAAATTATGTTGAATCTGGGGAAAATTTTGACATTAATTATTAGAAAATGTAAAATTAAGATAATTTAGACAAATAAAAATGGCGGTTCATATGCGCAACGAACAGCCAATACACATAATAGGGAAGCGATGATAATGACGTACATTGACATGTTTGCTCTGTAATTCTCTATTTTTTAATGTACCCTACCTCTTCTCCAAACTTATAATCGCTCAACTAAATCTCCTGATATATTAAGGGTGATTATTACGGAAAACTTTCTAGAATTAATGATCTGTATGCAATATTAACTCTACATTTTTCAACAGCAATAAGAGTTCATAACAGATAGTTTTATAACATATAGAATGATTTCACAGATATTCCATAAGGTCCGTTTCGTTATTGCTTTGAGCCAAACCTTTGCAAGAAGCATCGTCTGTCAATTTTGCTGCTTGGTCAGGAGTAATTTGTTCCATGTGCATCTTGTAGTATGCTTTAATCATATCGTCACTCGGACCCCATTCATCTGTTGGACGACATGCCCGTAGAAATTTCTGGAAATGTAGAATGTGTCTTAGTTAAGAACAAAATTTAAACTATATTGAATTAGGAACATCAAAATAAATAACGAGTTGCGTCTACAACATACTAAGCTCATTGGATAAAATGAGCGTTCCACGGTTCATTACACATTCTAGGATCAATTCCTGGTTCAGCTGGTTGCAAATCTGAGTCGATGTTGGCTCAAGGTTATTTTCCCATTACTATAGGTTCGATTGCTAGTTTTTCCCAAATATTCGTGAATTCTCGGTAAATTCGGACCAGTGCCGGATTACCCATTAGGTTAGACTAGGCCATGGCCTGGGGCCCCCAATGACGAGGGCCCCTCTTAAAATGGATTTTTTGAAAATAAATTATAAAAAAAATAAGAAAAACAATGATTTAAAAAAATCAATTTCAAATATTATGTTATGATTATAAAATGTTATGATTATTTTTTTGTTCTAATTTAACAAAATAAAGTAAAATTCAATTTATTATTATTTATTTTAATTTTAAATATGCTTTCTTGAATGAAAAGATATATAAATACTTTTATATTAGAATAAATAAAAAATATACGAGAAAAAAAATTAATCTACGGGCCCCAAAAATTTTAATGACTTAGGGCCCCGCGTACGTTTAATCTGGCACTGATTCGGACGCAGATGACCTGAAAAATCCTATTTCTCTGACAATTTTGTAAACTGACATGGTTAAGCGTCAAACGCTATCTATTTGTTCGCGTTCAAAGGCTTTTAATTCATAGGTTTTACTTATACTGACAATTAAAACAACTGTTTAACAACATCCACAGTACTAACTATAAATGCAGTTATACAGGGTTATTCATAATTCCCTCTGTTTACTACAACCTTATGCTTACTACAACTGGCTTCAGTGGTACATGTTACTGTCATCTATCGGCAACTGCTTAAATTGAAACTTGAAAACTTTCGGAATAATTTTATATGTTCTTTTCTGCCATATTCGTCTTCGTTTTTTTACTATAACGCTTCGAAACCCCAGAGGGAATTATGAATAACCCTGTATATAGTTACAATCACAGTACATATAGTACAGCTACTGTACTACATGTTATATACTTATATATGTTATCATGTACTGGCTATATATGTAGCACGCCTTCACGTAAGCATAAATAAAGCGCAGTTAACGAAATTCGCATAGTATTGTGCATCCCTAATCCTGTGGACGATTAATGCGTTGACTGCTACTGGGGAACAAACTTTTTATTTATAGTTGCATGATAAGTTTTTAAAAACAGATTTTAGACAGTTTCGTATTGTTAGTTTCAAATCTGCAATCATTTTTTCTCTCCTAGCTACATTTATTTATTAAATGACATTTCTAGTCTATTTTTGTCGAAATGTGTAAGGTTAAAAACGTTATATGACAGAGAGACGAATAAATGCTGCAACAAACTTCCAAATAAGTTAAGGCACATCATCAGGATTAAAATGGCATAGCAACCCATTCTCGAAAATGTTGTCATACGCCGTGAGGCGATCTCTTAACTGTTTCATCCTGTTCTTTTGAACAGGTCATAATAGGTACGTAGGATGACATTTCCGGGCATGGGTTTATATACAGTTTTAATCCTAATGACGTGTAACGACTCCCCTAGAAATTCGTCGCCACAATTACGTGATCCCCTGTTACATATAACGTTTTTAAACTTGTACATTTCGAAAAAAAATGTAGACTAATAATGTCATTAACAAAAGATAATCTGTAGCTTAAGGGAGCAAAATTAATTTCAGAGAACAAGTTTTGTATAACGACAACAAAAAATTCGTTTCCCAGTGTAATCAATAGCACAATTTTCGATGCCCAATAAAATCAAAGAAGGGCTATAACATGTCTTTAACGATAGTAAGTAAATTTTTATCTTAAGTTAAAAACGGGCTTTGCTTAAATATTTGCTTTACTTAGTAATTCTAACTAAATAGGATCGTAAGTTGTGCACTTTTCTTAAAATAAAACCAACGGGAAGAGCAACAAATAGTAACAAAAATATATTGGATTCATTTTGAATGATTTCACAATGTAGGTAACGTAAAAAACAGCGAGAATAAAGTACAGATAAATGAACATGAACGGACATACTATAGTTTTGGTTCTATAAACAATACTTTCCTCAATATCTTCCTCAATCATCAATTCGCGTTCAGGAACGACGGAATGTTCTTCTCTTATAGAACCGAAACTATAGTATGTCCATTCATGTACTTATAAGTGTACCTCCTTCACGTTGTTTTCGTTTTATTCCTAAATAGCGTAAAGTATACCCTTTCATTTGACATATGGATTTAAGTTTTGCTCATTATATTTTTTAAGATCGTATAATATTTCTTGACGCTTTTTTCCACGTGCGAATATTTTGGTATTTAATTTGTCTATAATAATGCAAAGAAGAAACCGAAAAACAATATTTCTTATACAGTTAATTAAAATGCCACATTGAAAACAAATATTTCTGTAATAAGTCAAAAGCTAGAAATTTGTGGTTAAAATTTTAACAATATTGTTAGTTGGTACTAAAACTGCTTCCGAAATTTTCTTTTCATCTTAATTATAATATTTCAGCTCCGCATGCAACTGAAATTCTGAGAAATTAGTTTTCTGCCATTAAATTTTCTAAAAGGAATACATAATATGTTTTCATTGGAAATTTTAATAGATAGAAATATAAAGTTGCCACGTGCTATTTTTCTAAAAATCTTTATCGCTTTACTTTTTTCTCTTTTCAATTTTTCACGAAAAGTAAAAGAAAGAAAGAAAAACGCAGTTGGTCATCGTAATTAATTAGAGTCACGAGATTTCAATTTCGTTTATTTTGAGACAAAAGAGTCAGTTTTCATGTAAAATGATATTCGAGTATACATTTTGTTTTACGAAATTGCATGAAATAAACAACCCATCTTATTGTCCACGTTGAATGGATAAAATTATTCATTGAGGGAAAAAAAAAACGTTTTCTTGCATTGTCTTCTTGATGGATGAGAATCAGAAATTACCTTTTCGTAAGTGTATTGAATATTCTGAATATATATGTATCAGTGTTACTTAATCTGTATCAGCCTGAAAATAATCGCTTACAAAAAAGACTTCAGTTTTGAAATTAAATTTCATTTTTTTCCTTTCGCATGTTTCAGTTTATATTGAAATTTTAATTATGGAGTTATGGGGCCAGGATAGCCTGGTTTGTAGGACGCTGAACTCACGCTCGTAAGAACGGAAGTAATCCAGCCGACCGAAAAAAATGGAGACTGGTGCACGTTAAATCTGTCGGGTCACGGAGTCCTCTATGTTCTTATAACAAATTATACCTCTGGTTGTACACTGGATTAGAGATTGATAGTTCTCTGGTGCAAGTCAAAATTACGATCCACGGATAAACAAATGGATGTATAAGTGGGTCTGCTCTATGAACGGGTGTGACGGATGGGTGTGGCAGTAGTCGAATTCTTGGCCATGGATGGTACCTCTGGAAATCAAGAACAATCGCACTATTTGCCTTAATGGACTACAACAACAACAACAATTATGAAGTTTTAAGACTTTTAATTTAAGAACTACTTTGCAGCATGGCCATGAGAAAATGAGAAGTTTGAGGCCATGAGAAAATACAAAATGTTGCATGCATTGCATAAAACAAATCTGATGAGTGAGTGCTGAAAAATTATCAGGTTAATATTTCTCTCGACATAATTTGCTTTAGAAATGATAATTTGGTGACGTAGCACCGATCCACATGCCATTTACGTTGAAGACTGAACTTCAATAACTTATTTTAAACTAATGCCAAGGAAAAAAAATCCTTTTTAAACATTTCTCCCGAATTGAATAATTAAAATTTTTAAAGGATTTATCGGATTGGGGATCGAAATTGCTCTTCTCGGTCGATGTGCAAATTTCACAGCCCTAGCACTTACGGTTGTGGAGTTATATGAAATTTAAAGTAGCTTTCCTCGATAATGACTGACAAAATACTAAATAAACTCATAGAAAAGTTGAAAAATTTTACTTTCTGTGCATAAACAGAATAATTTAAGACCTTGTAATTCAGTGCGCATACGTAGATGCATGTGCCTTTTCATGCGACATGGCGATGTAAATCCTAGCAAATTCTGCGTTAACTTCCGATATTCCAAATTCGAAACTTTCCACAAGATTTAACTGGTCTTCAAAAATGTAATAGTAAAAAAAAAAAAAANAAAAAAAAAAAAAAAAAAAAAAAAAAAAAAAAAAAAAAAAAAAAAAAAAAAAAAAAAGAACCATATTGAAAAGCTTTTATTTTATAGACCGGATTTTCCCTAACCATGTTCAAAGGCTTGACTTTGAATATACAATTTAATTAGTATTATCAATTAGTATAAAAAAACGCAATCTCACTAAACTAATTTACCTTTTATAAATTAAGATTTTTGAAACTGAAATCTGGGGTAATAGCCGTAATCTGGTAATTATGACTTCTTTTATTTAGTCAAGAGAGCGACCGATAGTTCGAACACCTTAATGCTAAATTTACTTATTAAAAATTCGTCATGTATCTAGAACGATTTAAGCGAATCAAAGAATTTTTCCATGCAATTATAAAATTCGTTTATCCACCCGTTATTCAAAATACAAAATTTCAGTGCAAAAGGTCGAATTTTTGAAAAGACGTATTTCTGAAATTTGATTTCTCAAGAATTTGACAGAGTTTGACAAGAATTTGAAGAAATTTTAAATTTTGTCTTTAAAATTACCTTCTTTAAAATAATGTGAAAAGTTTTATACCTAATTATTTAATGGCTTTTTCTATTGATATTAAATAAAACATTTAAAATAATAAATAAGAATTAAAAATTATTTTTCCAGTAGGGTAAACGAATTCTATAATTAAATGCAAAAAACTTTGTCTTCACTTTAAAATTTCTCGCAATGCAACGAAACATGGAAAAAGTAAATTTAACATAAAGGGGCTTAAACTTTTGTCCGATTTCCT